CTTTAAATCTAGATAAATAAACTCTTGGATCGAAATTTGCCAACCTATCCCTTTAAGATGAGATGAATCAAGCCAAATTCCTTGTTGTATTATATTCATATTTCTTGATATTATGCTTGTCATTGGTTGTCAGGTTAGGTGGGAAGGGTTGGGAGCTAGGACCCCTCCCTTAAGAATATGAGAGACAGATATATAATAGATTTAAATAAAAATTCTTTTCACATTAATTCAAAAATATTCATAAATTATTTGAGAAAATGTTTTACACTCTCAGATGATTCAGAGGTTTAATGGGATTTAGGTTTACAAAGTTAGTTTAAAAGGTTTAATTCGAAAAGGTTAAGGTTTAGAGGATTAACCAAGTTTTAAAGGTTTAGTTCAGAGCCCGCGATTTAAAAATCCGGGAAACTAGACTTAATTTATTAAAAAGGTTAAATATAGTGTTTTGGCGGATTTTCATGATTGGAATTGGCGGATTTGTGGGATTTGATTAGAATAAGACTCAACATTGAGTCTAATTCTCAACTAAAACCAACCTCGGCCGGTTTTATTTTTTATGGGCCTAACTTCTTAAGTCTAGCCGAAGAGCTGGCAGATGTCGATCACGTGACTTAAGCTGTCGTCAGCTGATTCATAAGTTTGGTATAAGATTGAGCCTTAAGCCCGGGTCTAAGAAATTAAGAATCGAGCCGAAGCTTTCATATCCCGGGCTCAGGTTTAGAGGATTAATCTATAGTTCAGTTGTAAGGGTCAAATCTATAGTTAATGTTTAGAGGTTTAATCTACAGTTTAGGTTTAGAGGTTTAATCTACAGTTTAGGTTTAGAGGTTTTATCAGCAGTTTAGGTTTAGAGGTTTTATCAGCAGTTCAGGTTTAAAGGTTTAATCTCTAGTTCAGGTTGAGAAAGCATGAAAAACCATGCTAGCGTATCGTCAAGACATGATACATTATATTTTCTATTTTGTTAACCTGAGTTGAGTACTGACTATATAGGACAGATATCCTTTCAGCTAAATGGTAAGCTTTTCATTTAAAAAACGACACTTTCTCTTCGGTTTCAGCTTTTGTTTTGAACATGCATCTTACACATATACCCGGCCATTTTTATTTAAATCTAGCTTAGTATACACCCCTCCCCTTTATTCTACATTTCTTCTTTAAAGATTATATAGCCATTTATCATGGATTTAATTAAGTAATTTACATGTTTCTATAGAATTTGAATCATACTTAAAATTTAATATTAAAAATATTAAATCATTATCATTCATGATCTATTCCTGGTATTTGTTTCTTCTCAATCTGGATTATTTCTCTCCAGATTTCATCCTTCATCCGTCAACTTAAATCCGTCCTTGAGTGTTGCATATCAGTGTCTGTAAATTTCAATTGAACTCTGTCTTGTGGTTTCTTTCAGAGAGAAGATACAGGTTTTAATCCTTTCTTTGAAGAGATAAAGAGATAAAAATGTAAAAAATATCCTTTTTCCCGATGTATTCAATGTATTTACTATTTATATTCATATTTATGTTTAACTAGGATTCGAATTCGTTTCGCGCCCTTTTTTAAATCTTATGTTCAAGTCGACTTTTCGCTTTTCTAATAATATTGATGGAACTCCAAAATTTTAAAAATCTTTTTTTAAAGCTAAATTGTTTAATTTCGAACGCCAGAAAACCTCCCGTGGGTCATGTAAGTTGTCACACAAATTTCGGGTAGGATCGGTCTGACCGTTTTGACGTTTTTTGGATACAAACAATCACCAAAACCAACAAACAAGAAACAGGCATAATATTTATATAAATGTATAAATAAAGGTGTGAAATAAAAAACATGAAAGAACTGAATGTGTTTATTGAGTAATAAGGTTTCATTTTTTAATTGTTTTCTAGCTGTCCTAGGACTTCTTAATTCTTAAAAATGAAAATAACTTCAAAAAAAAGTACGAATTTAGAACTTTTTAATGTTTTTTTTGCTGTAGACTTTGTAATAAAATTAGAACAAAATCTTTCAAACATAACTCCACTTTCTGAAAAGCTATTTAGAAACAAGCAATTTCCAACATGCAACCAAATTACCTGCTTTTCTCGTTCTACCTTTTCCTTATTTCTAGATTTAAAGGGACTGTGAAGGAAATATGAAAGGGGGTATAGGATGAAACCTGAGAATCTCAGGAGTTAAACGATATCAAAAATGAAAGGGGGTATAGGCTGAAACCTGAGAAGCTCAGGAGTTAAACGATATCAAAAATGAAAGGGGGTATAGGCTGAAACCTGAGAAGCTCAGGAGTTGAACGATACCTATATGACATCTATCTGATGTTCCTGTCTCGAGAGATTGATATAAAACTGTGTCAAATTTATACGAAAATTCATATATATGCAATTTTGTATAAAATTTGTAGTATTAAACAGATCTTATTCAACAAATACGCAACCAATCTGAAAACGTCGATGTTCCACAGGAGCCTGAGAATATCAGGTTTGTTTCTATTATACTTTTTATTTTGCATTTTTAATAGATATAATTGATAATATCATTTCATATAGTCCGTATAGCCTGCATCACATCACCAGAACTTCAGCCAATGGCAGTGGGATATCGTCGTTTTCAGATTGGTTGCGTAATTGTTGAATATGATCTGTTCAATAATACAACTTTTAATTTTCGTATAACTTTGACACAGTTTTATATCAATTTCTCGAGACAGGAACATCAGATAGATGTCATATAGGTATCGTTCAACACCTGAGATTCTCAGGTTACATCCTATACCCCCTTTCATTTTTCCTTGATAGTCCCTTTAAGTGCCTGCAACTGCACTGAGATAATCTAAATATGCTTTAAATCCGTCTTCTCTGCGCTGCACTACACAATACAGATTTAAACTCGAATGCCATTTGAAATATGACGTAATTTCTCTATATCTAGATAGTCTAGTCCTGATATTGCATTTAATCATCAAATATTGTAACAGAATGAAGTATTAGAATTGGAGGAGATCTTTCAACCTAAATTTACTTTTTCGGTTAAAAATGTCTAGTCTGTAATAGCAAGAAGCAATGGAAAAATTATAAGAATTAAACATTTTTCGACTCCGCAAAACAATGGTATCTTCTGCATTTTTGATCTGATTAAGTTTTAAAGGGAACCGTTGTAAACCGAGCATTGCCATCTTTGCATGGAGGGTCACTTAAAATTACACTTACAAGATTTAGAATTAAATCAAGGTTTCAGTGTTTACATCATGGTTTCAGTAGTTTACATCATGGTTGTCCCCGCTTTTATTTCAAATACACGATTCATGGTTCACACAAATTCCTGAAAATTAAACAATTTAAACAAAACTTTTAAAAAATCTTACTCTGGTGCACAGTTTAAACATGCTTGTCTGTTTGTCTATTTGTCTGTTTGTCTCTTTGTTTGTCCGTGAATAACTCTAACGAACCCCGTGACTGATTTCCCTTAAATTTTAACTGGAGAATTCGGCAGAACTATGGGAATATTCTAAACTTGGTTAAGAAATGGGGAAACTTTTGTAGGGAAAATCAAGTATGCAGACAAAGCTGGGTTCTACAGCTAGTTGAAATATCTCAGACAATAGTTTGGTATCTTCAAAAACTATTGGCCGACATTAAAAATATATATATATCTCATTGTAAAAATAATATTTGATTTATCTAGGTATTTAATGGAAGAGAAAATACAAAATATCAACCAACCAAAGAGACTGTTGACATAATTTCAAATAACTTTCCATTTATAGAATGGCATATCCGATTCTCAAAACAAAGAGAATAGAATATATATTAGAGTGGAATTTAGTCAATCCGTCGGTATGAATTTTGTCAGTCAAAGTGTACAATCATGGAAATGTTTACAAATTATATGCAGTAGAGTACATTAATACCGTATGTTCACTAGACTATCCATTTCAATTTCGAATTTTTTAAAGCTGTTAAATAAACTTTATAAAATGAATTAGGTGTATAAACCCATCATTTGATTTATAGTTATAACGGAAAATCATCGTTTGTATAAAGTGGAAGGCATAGAGTCTATGCGAAATGACTATTGGTCAATTATGAAACCAGCCTATCTCAAAATTTGTTTTTTTAATATTAATTTTAGATTTTCTATTAAATGATATTCCAGGGCCCGAAAGGTTATATAGCATAAATATGTGAAGTACACCTGCAGTATGGAAACAGTACAACAAAATGGCCGTTTTACACTTTTTTCTAGTAAATTCCACTCTAATATATATTCTATTCTATTTTCCTTAAAAGCTTTATCTGATCAAAAATACATAAAATATCCATCATCTTCTCTTTGAAAATTTCCTTTTTTTCAGTTTTGATTTCTCGTAAAGTAACTTGCGCATTTCTTCTTCAAAAATGATGTAGAAAATAGTCTTAATTGAATACTTTTTAGGCTGAAAAGAACGACGATTTTTTCCACATTTTTTATCAAATGAAACCATGATAGGAAATATACAAACAATGGCATTAATGAAGTGTTTGTTTGATATAACACCAACAAGGTTAAAATAGGATTGTAATGTAGAGATAACACCAACAAGGTTTAAATAGGATTGTAATGTAGAGATAACACCAACACGGTTAGAATAGGATTGTATGTAGAGATAACACCAACAAGGTTAAAATAGGATTGTATTGTAGAGATAACACCAACAAGGTTAAAATAGGATTGTATGTAGAGATAACACAAACAAGGTTAAAATAGGATTGTATGTAGAGATAACACCAACAAGGTTAAAATAGGATTGTATTGTAGAGATAACACCAACAAGGTTAAAATAGGATTGTATGTAGAGATAACACCAACAAGGTTAAAATAGGATTGTATGTAGAGATAACACCAACAAGGTTAAAATAGGATTGTAATGTAGAGATAACACCAACAAGGTTAAAATAGGATTGTAAACGATATTTTCTATGTACACTGTACACTGTACATTAGCTGTATACTGTACATTTTCACCATATTTTCAGATAAAAATGCCGTGGTGGGTGTGGCTGGTGGGCGTAATCTTGGCAGTAAGTGCCACGCCCCAGTCCAATTACGACCAGCAGGCGGTGTCAATAAATTCTTTAGGATCGGGTATTCCGGAGCTGGCAACTCTAAACGGAACTGTTACTGAACTAGGTATGCACTATGAGAATAGATTTAAAGGGACTGTTTGCGCAATTTCAAGTGAACCGCTATTTCTTCGGTTAGTGTACTGCAAATCACTGCAGTACACACCGAAAGTTGTGGTTTGACCCTCAAAGAGGGAAATTCCTGATCTGCATCGGTAACCTTTGAACATTAAAATGAGTATCGAGGGCTCAGAACTGTGTTTATCTCTAAAATGGGGTTCAAATTCTCGTAAAACTGGAGTGTACACTGGTATAGTATTATTACGATCCTCGGCCCCTTCAGTAAAAGTAAATTCAATTTATATAAAGGATAAAGTCTGACCGCGTCAACCTTGTTGCACCGGCTAGCCCTGTTGATTTTCTTCTTTATTAACCCAATGTCAGTGCGGTGTAGTACAAACTGGGACCGGAAAGGTTGACCCGGATCGAAAATTCAAATGTACTATACGGCTGCCCGTGTTATGCTATAACTCCATGTAATTGACGTTTTATATATATACATGTATCCCGAAAATCCCAAATATTCAATGTACAACGTCACTGCAAACTAACCATGAGAAAAAGGTCAAATTCAAATGACATTATACTATTAAAACTTTATGACCCCGTGTGTAAGTGTAAGAAAAGCAAATATATTCGGTAACATATTATATATATATATTCTTCTCAATATCTCTCCGGCTATAAGAGGAGTTAACATAATAAGCGTTTACGATTTCAAACTTACGTGAAATTTACTTTAGTTTGACGTGACGCGGAGGTAAAAATTTCGAATAAAACTATTTGTTTTTTTTATCCTGGAAAATAAATAATATTCCTTGATTTAAAGGTTACTGTTGTGAATCAGACACGCCAGTCTAAAATTTAGGATCACTTAAAATTACGCCTACAGTCCCTTTAAAAAGAGAGCAAATGGTTTGTTTGTTATTTGAAAAAAAAACTTTCTGCACTGCCCGAGCAAATTCCAATCTTTGATAAATCAAGTTTTGATAAAACTGTCTTAATACGTCACAGAAAAATGTAAACCAACCACTCTCTCCTTAGTTTAATATAATTTGAATACATGAATTCAGTCTTTGGCCACAAACTGAGATTTTCTAATCCCGATATCTTTGCAAAATGTTGTTATAGACTATAGATATTTCAAACTATGCAATTTGTTAGATAAAATGATCTAAGTTTGAAGTATCAAAGGTTTACGTCATCAAGTTGCAAAGATATAGGGATGGAAAATTTCAGTTTGTGACAAAGACTGTATCCTCTAAACTAAGGGGGTTATGAGTTCAAGAATATAGTTGCTAAAGTTTGTAAAACAAATTTCACGTTTCCCTGTTCCGTACTTTGCTGTTTACCAGAAGAATGTTTTTATTTTACTGTATTTGATTAATTGATTTCGGTTAAATTTCCCATAATATTTTCTGACCCAATTTATCCATGAGACCTATCTGACGGAGTAAATGAATAAGGAGTGAACATTATAAACATATAAAGACAATATCGAAGTATATAATTATCAGGGGCGTATTCAGGAATTTTTCCAGGGGGGGCTTAAATTTATTTCTTTCCAGGGGGGGGGGCTCAGCACCCATTGGGGCATGAAAACCCCCCTGAAATCAATAGATTTCACTGGTCCATGGGGGGGGGGGGTGCTTAGCCCCAATAGCCCCCCCTGGAGACGCCTCTGATAATAATCATCAAAATCAAGGATAAAGTAACCTCTAAAAAAAATTACTATGCTGATACGGGAATACATTAACTTAGTGTTAAAAGATGGGGCCAAAGTATAGTTTAATTCTCTTTTTCAAGACCTTTTAAGTTATGCAAATTAACTCTATGAAAGTTTTGATTCTTTGAAAAAGTTTACATTTAAAAAGTTAAGTTTAGAGATGACTTGTCTTTTCCTTCTTTCTTCCTTTTTACTTTTTATTTTACTCTAAATAATATTTAATTAAAATAATCCATCAAAAGCCGTATAGGGATATTTTCAAGAATTAAGTAAAAAGTTGAAAGAGCACTTTAAACGGTATTATGTAGAATGTTTTAATGAACTTTAGAATTTAGAATCACTATTCTCTTCCATCTTCAGTTTGTTTTGTGTTTTCTACTCTTTATTGTGAATCAATTAATTTCAGTTGAAAGAATAAAATATATTATATATATTTTATTTTTAGACACGCTGGCTCCGACGATATCGTTGAACAGAACTAAGGCGAGTTTGAACTGCTCTACAGGGTTCATGAACATTAAGCTCTCCTTCCAGCAGGACTTCTACGGGATAGTTTATGCAGATTATGACAGGAAAATAAACCTGGGTTTAAAACCAAAAATGACGGCTGTTCTTATTTGCGATTGAAACCGACAAAATTTGTATTTTGTAATCGCATTTTAATGATAATAATAATTCCACGACAGGCAAATTTATTGGGAAGAATCTAAAACTAGTTTCAAACCCTGGTAAAAATCAAAATGTAAATGGAAAGTCGTCTTCATTGCATTGAAATATACGATGATGACTGTGTACGCAAGAAAGTACTGTCTAGGTGCTGAAATGTACGATATCTTAAATTAGAAAAAACCCAGAAAAATAGGGAAGAGCATAAAATTAAGGTTTTGATATGTGTGTCGTCTTTGTTTAAATAAAACCAGGTTTACTGTTTGGTAGGAACTCTGCGTGTAGGGTGAGCGGGAACGGAGAGGCTGAAACTGTTCTGGAAATTCCACTGAAAGGCTGCGGCACTATTCAGGTACAGAGTTATTAAAGGGACAGACCGGCTATATGTTTAGGATTCATTTAAGACATAATAATGAAATAATGAAACTTCTAAAACGACCAACGCAATTTATTACGTCTTTTTTCATATGAAACCTTATTGGTTTTTGCAGTTTTAATCCTAATTTTTTTTTCATTGCCCAAATAGTTTTTTATTTGTAAGAATATTCTTAAGGCAGAAGACTAAATCCAGCTTTCGTATAAATCAATAAAAGAGTTTCATGAGGCCTTTAAAGTATTATCCTGTACAAACCCGGTGTAACGTTAAAAACGCCAATTGTGGTTTCTCAAAGTGACTTGCGGATTTATGCAGCAGAGAGAAAAGAAGGAAATTGTCAGAATTTTTCAGTTTCCTAGATATTTTTCTTTCTCATTGTTGCTTAAATAAAGGTTTCTACATAAAGAACCAGAATTTTATCAAAAGTTGCATCAATTTTTTAAGTTTGAGTCGACTCTGTGTCGAAACCCCTAGGTCTTTGATTTAACCTCAAAAACTCACTTACATTTTTTCTTTGTAGCACTAGAGATGTAAAGTTTAGAACTATTAAGCAATTGCTCGTGTTTTAAAGAAGTAATTGGAAAAATTCTGATCGACTTTTGCTCGAGAGCCGCAACTTGGATCACTGTGTCTTATGAAATGGGGTGGACACACTTGAAATTAAGTGAACATTCCCATTAACTAAACAAACTCTACAGCAGTATGGACGGTTACAATACTAGAACGTGTGATGGTTCAATTCAAAGTTGTCATTTCTTTTACACTTGAAATTTGGACAGCAATGGTTTTAAGAATATAAAAAATTTTATTTTAAATTATTGACAATTTTTTTTACGCTGGGTAAAGGAGGTAAAGAGTAATAGACATTTTTTAAAGTTTAAGCTTTTAAGTTAATTCTTTCGAGGCTCAGATAAATTTTATAAAAGTTGACTTATCATATTTTCATTTTCTCATAAAACGAAATAAACTCTGGACTCTTTTCCCTTAAATAAAAAAACCGCCAAGGATTTAGAGATTAGTAAGTATTAAAGATTATATTCTGTAAAAATATCCAGAGTGAAAACTTTAAAATGGTGGATATCGAGATCAATGCTTAATCTTCTTTTTTTGCTAATCTCAAGACTAATTTAGTCTCTAGATTAATTTCTAGAAACTAGAGATGCGCTCTTTACCTTTTTTGCATTAGTGGTGTAATATCAATTGGACTAATGATCGATTGAACGCACGTAACTTTTGGAGTAATGTTTCTTAAGACTAACGTCCAAAGGGAATTTAGTCCTCAAATGTGATAAAATATGTTTTTGATAAGTTCATATTAACATGATTAAATTTTTATTTGTGTAAATGCTCTAAAAGCCGGCAAACACCTCTGACTTTAGTTCAATCGTATTTTAGTTCTATTGATTTAGCATCGTATCTGTATTTGTAATCAAACGTATTTTTATTACATGTAGTAGGAAATGTGATATCCAACGAGTGCGGATTAAAAAGAAAATTAAAAACTTCCATAGTGTATATTTAGGGTATCCAATTCTAAAGTTTTCAGCTCAGAACATATTTCAAAGACATAAAAAATACATATTTCAACATGAAAAGCTGTATTAATGATTTAAAGAAAAAGAGAAAAATGTTGCTTCAAGTTGATTACTAAACTAGGAATATTGTATGTAATGTATATTGTATTCAATATTAAGAATTTAAAATAACATAATGATTGTAAAAATTCCTCTTTTATCGATAAGAAAATAAGTTTTGGTTGCTTCATGTTTTTTTTATTTTTATATTTATTTGGCAAAAGAATTCAATTTTTGAATTTGAAAACTAAGGCTTTTTGTATGCAAATAAGATACTAATCTTAATGTAAATCTGCAGATAATGTTTTTCAGTCCTAAGTAGGAATAAACACCTTGATTAATGAGAAAATAAAAAAAAACGATAAATATTAAAAAAATGATTTAGTGAAATCATAAAATTAATGGAAGTAGTAACAAGGCCTAAATTAAAGGGAATGTTGTGTGATATTAAGGGACTCTCCTTTAAAAAAAAAGTTAGGAGCATGTCCGATTCAAATCGATACCATTTTTAAACCTAAATCGGATTAATAACGTGGAAATTAACGGTCTTTTTCTCGCTTGAAAAGTGTTTCATTCTGAATATTTCTCCATTGTTTCTTAACCAATAAATGCGCAAGTTACTTTTGCAGAGAAATCATGAATAAAACAAATTGTTTTCAAAAAACATGTATATTCAAATCATTCCTTGTCAGCCAAAGCTTTAAAGGGTACCGTTGTGAATCAGACTTGCCATTAGTTCAATGGAGGGTCACCTGAAATTCGTTCACAGTCCCTTTAATAAAAATGCAAAATTAAAATGAAAAAAATGTTTTTAGGATCCTCTCCGAGTATTCACGAATAATATTGTTGTGAGGTTCCATCCTGGTCTAGAGATAGAAGGAGATGAAGTTATCACGGTTATCTGTAGATATCCTCCTCCCATAGTCCAACCTGCTCTCATACCAGAACCTCTACAGTAAGTTCTCCAGGGTGGTGTTAAAGTAGAGAGTCTTCCTGATTATATTACAACCAATCCCCTTCTCAGTGGTTCTTTGGTTAGCCTTAAGGAGAGCTGATTATTCACCTCAAACTTTAATCCTAACATCCTTGCAATTTTATGTCGTTGTGATCTATTAGTTCTGTTAGATCAAATTGTCAAAGTTTGAAATATGAAAGGGTTACACCATCAGGTTGCAAGATCCAGTGAAAGCAAAATTAGAGTATGAGCGCGCACCCAATTATAGAAAGATAGATTTCATTAAAATTTTACAATCACAGACATTCTGTACATTTTTTTTCTACTTCGGAATTTATTATAATTTTTTGTTTTTTTACCAATATTTTTGGTAGTATTGTTTTTAAATTTCTAGGTGAATGTTTTTCATGGAGTAATATAATATGTTAATCGTTTCAACAGAATCTAATTATGTTTGCAAAAGCTCTGAAAACAAGTTTAAAGTTGAAAATACATGACAAACTCCCCCCCCCACAATTCAGCAAATCATTTAATTATAATTATCTAATCAAAGAAAAATCAATTTTTTTTATACACTATCTTGCACCCATGAGATTTTTTAGAAATTGTCACTACGTTTTTATAACATTTGAAATAATTATTTCAGAAAAATTCAATTTACTTCAAATTAATCACTCCACCTTAATCATTACTTAATCAAAATAAAATTTTATTTTAACTCTGAACAGAAGGCAAATGTGTTGAGTACATTAGTAATTTTAAGAAAACTTAGAACATATTTTAAAAGCTTTAAAACCATTACCCACTAAAAACATACAGCATGCTTATCTAAATAACTCTTTCTTAGCTTTCATAGTTACCGGAGAGATAAATGATTTTGTTCAGAATTAGACTTGTTCATGGGTTTTATTCAATAAATTGAAATTTATACAAAATTCTTCATATCTCTGGTATTTTAGAACGCAAAAAAATGGCAGACCACATTTTTTTAACCTTAGAAACCGTTAAATTTTAAAAATATTTGAATCATTATTACCTTTAAAACCTTTAAACCCATTTCAACCGTGAAAACCATTACAACCGTTAAAACCTGTAAAACATTTAAACAGTTTAAAGCCTTGAAAACCTTTAACTCCTTTAAAACCTTTAAAACCTCTAAATGCAGTGGCAACCTTTAAAATCTCAATGCAGTCCTTAAAACTTTAAAACTTAAAAACATTTAAACTCATTACAACCTGTAAAACCTTTAAACCATGACAACCTTTTCAACCTTTGAATTCTTTAAAACCTTTAAAATCTTTAAAACCTTTAAAATCTTTGAAACCTTTAAAATCTTTAACCCCAATCTAACTTTTAAGACCTTCAAAAACTTTACAACTTTTACAACCTTTAAAGCTTTAAACCCCATTCCAAAATTTAAGACCTTTAAACCATAAAAAAACTTTAAACCTTTACAACCTTTAAACCTTTCAACGTATTACAACTTTTAAACCCTGTAAAAACTTTACAACTTTAAAGGGAGTGTTCGCGAAAAATTACGTCGAAAAATATTCGATGGCGATTGCTACTAATCTTACTTCTATCTGTTGCGTCCATAAGGAGAAAATTGTTAAAAACGACTCATACCGAAGAACGTAGGGTCCATACAGATCCAGAAATTTGCAATATTCGACTCGGATCGAAAAATCAATTTAATTCCAAAAAAATCATCGATTTTTTTCGACGCATTCGTATTTAGTTGATATTTTATAACGTTTTTGATTTTTTAAAAATTAATATTTAGCTTAAAACTTGTTTTCACGGCTGACGCTGGATTTTCGAACATTCTTGGAAATATGAATTTCGTCTTCAATATCAAAAATCCTCGAAACAGGAATGAATGTTATGTTTTCAAAAGTAACTCTCAGATCATAAAAAAAATTAAAAACCTTTACACCTTTAAAACCTTTAAAACTATGAAACCTTTAAACCCTTGAAACCCTTTAAACCTTCCTCGATAACACAAATATTTTCTTATACACAATAATTTACGTGGGTTGAACTTTGGTTTAACATATCCTGGTATGGTTTAATGTAGGTGGTTGGCTCTAGGTATAAGCTTATCCCTGACTCAGGTTTAAGGTATTTGTAGCTACAAGGAGCCAAGTTCTATAAATAGGAACATATAACAAAGATTGATATTTATAACTTTGCCTAATTAAATACTTGAAACTTGAAAGTAATAAACAAATTATTGATTGAGTCTCTGCATATTTGTTAACTTTATTATTTTTCTTAATTTAGGTGGAAATATCAGTTATGGATATAATTTAGACCTTTGGTCTTTTATAGTATTATGATTTTTTGTCATCTTAATAATTAAGATTGGTTTTCGTTTTCACTCAATCTGAATATTTAGGTTACCGTTAACTCCAGTAGCTGCTCTCGCACCCTTAAGAGAGTTTGAAATCCTTCTCATCATTTGTGCCATTGTTTTCCTTGCCCTTCTACTGCTAGGTATAGGCTGCTCATACTACTGTCTCAAGAAGAGGAATATCAGGGTTATCAGGCGACGACCTGTCTCTACTATTGGCTCCGAGGTTACCCGGATATCTGATCCTCCATCCATGTTTGAAGGATTAAAGATCCCTCGAGCCCACGCCATGGATACTTCAGGATCCGAGGAGATGACTGAATCCGTCCACACGGATTACGGAAGTGACGTCACGAGTATTGCAACCGTTGAAGACTTCCAATCTGCTTACTCTGATCTTGGTGGAGAGATTGATGAGAATATTGTCTATCCTGACCTACATGAACCTCCTATACCTGCCTTCGATATCAAGATGAGAATGAAGAGGTTTGCTAAATCTCTGACTCCTATCTCATCCAGAGCAAGCTCTGTAACAGAAGAGATGCTGGCGGCCCAGGAACAGTACTTGACAACAATCCTGGAGAGAACTGAAACCAACACGATGGAAACCCTGGAGAGAGTTAGGAAGAGCAAGGCTGATCTGGGTCCTCCTCCAGTTCACGCCAGACTTAGGGTACAGCACAAAGCTCCAAGTGTGAATGGACGTGATTCTGACTCTGAAACTTCCCAATACTCCCACGACCAGCTTGGAACTGATATGGATTTGACCGAGGATGAACTGGCTCCAGTTGTGGTTGACAGATCGATGCGGACGGCTTTGATTGAATCTGATCATCTGCAATCTGCTCGTCTAGTAGAATCTGTCCAGGTCAGAGAAAGTGAGTTCGTTACAAGACGAGAGGAAGAAATCAGGAAACGAATGGCCGCACATAAACAGAACACTGGGTTCGATGTTACAGTTCGAACTATCGAGGGTCGAGATAATCCTATGTTTAGCGATGATGACACCGCCTCTATGTCTGAGTACATGTCCCAGGGACCCATTGAACCAGTGCTTATTGACCGACGTGGCTACTCCCTGCACCAGGACGTTTCTCAGATGAGTTCACAGTTTGCTCACACTAGCATCAGTAACAGGCAACAGGTTTCTAAGTTTGACGTTCTGATCCGGGTCCTAGATGCACCCCCGCCCGGAGCATCCGGAGCAGGTTCAGACAAGGATGATTTGACCAGTGTGTTTAGCGAGGATGATAAACAGAGGTGGAGAGATATTGTCACGTATGATACAGAGTTTAGAACTATGCTGGAAGCTGCTCAAACCACGGAGGAGGTTACACACGCTGTATCTCAGGTAGGAAATTCTTAATTCATAACATTTTACGTATTTTTGGAGTACACTTTTCTAGAATATTTTCCTCTTCGTTTCCAATGAATATTCTTGCTTTTTTAAAATATTTGAGTTAAATGCAAGGTTGCCCACAAAGGATGAGACTATAATGACGACCAAAAAATCCTTTTTATGGTTTAATTTGATCTTTTTCCTCGAATATAGAGTTTAAAAGAGAAACTAAACAATTTGGAACAGAGAGAATCAAGGTTAAGGTTTACGGGGTTCCAAGACTGTGAGAAAAAGTTTTGTGGGTTCACCTTGTAAATCAAATCCTGAAACTATTTATGTTACCTTTATACATTTCTCCTTCATGAATGGTTTAGCATGAATGGTCCAGTCGTACAAATAAATAAATTTCATTTTTTTCCTCAAAGTTAAGTGGTTTATTTTATCTTTCGTATTTGTTAATACAATTTTACTTTTTTGTTCTCTTTTAAAACCAAGTTTTTTCCACAAACAAACTCTGTATTAGTTTTGCTTAGAAAACTCACTTCAGAATATATCAATCCCCCCCCCTCATCTTTTATGTTGGTATATGTGAAGTTCGGAAAGTTGAAGAAAACCTAGACTTTATCTTTCAAAAGAATGTTCCTTGGACTTTTTCGAAAGTTTATTGAAAAGAATTTTGCAAATATTTGAAATGCCTGTACAATTATAAAATAAATGAAAACTGAATTCTCTTTTTAAAATTAAAATGTCTGTGGTTCTCATCACATTCTTATTCTGTTCCTAACCCGTTCCTACTTCGAGTTCCTAACCCCTTACAAAACCGTCCATTCCTAACCCGTTCCTAAAACATTCCTATCCCGTTCCTAAAACATTTTTAAACCGTTCCTGAACCGTTTAAAAAAACACGTGTTTAAACTGTTCCTAAACCGTTTGAAAAAAACACGTGTCTAACTGTTCCTAAACTATTATTATTCTAGATCCGGTATGTGAGTAAGTATGAGAAGCTGTTTGCCCCGCACAAGTGGGATGTGATCGTGAGGGTGTTGAAGGCCCCGAGCTCCATCACCGGGAAGTCCATCAGCTCTAGGTCAACCAAATCTAACCGAACTAGCAAAACAGGCACAGAGTACGATCTAAGGTATAGACTGTGTTAGATAAAGTAATTGATATATTCCATTTTTATTGGCCTGTTGGCCACATGGTAAAAAACAATTTTTGACATTAAAACCGCCCAGGGGCTTAAACTTCAAAAACAGAATTTTACAGGGAAAAAAGGACAAACGTGAAAGTAGATATCGATTTTTTTCTCCAAAGGATTTAAGATTTCATTCTATAAAAGATCAAAATATCAAACTTAACAAAAAAAATTATCAACCTTTACAAAGTAAGTCAATTACGTCGCTATTGAAATGTAGAATATAATATTTAATATTATGAAAACTACATAAATTTGTTTTTAAGATCTCTGGCTGAAACAACGGTTGATTTTGGGGCTCGGAGATCTGATTTTGAGAGTGGTTCATCGGTTTCAGGACGGAGTGGACAGATGAGTCAGTATACAGCCGGGGGAAGGTAAGTTGGATACCAGGAGAAGGATTCAAATGACCCTTTTTGCTAAAATATTTTGAATATTTAGAATTTTTTCAAAAATAATTAAAAGTATCCAAAATTAAATTCACAATATCAATTTAGAACTTCTTAGAAATTCTTTAAAGGAAATGAGTCTTTGCCACAAACTCGGATTTTTAAATCTCAATTTCTTTAAAACCATATGTCGTAGATGCTAGATATTTCAAACTAGGAGTTTTGGTGGATCAAACAATGTAAGTTTGAAATATGAAAGGTATACATCGTCTGGTTGTGGTGGCAAAAACTCAATTCCTTTATAAATTCTTACAAGATTCTTTTTTATATTTTCTATATTATATACTATCATCATATCTTTAAAATTTATTTTTAGTTTTTTTTCAATTTTAAAAATTGGAATTTCTTCGAATGCTAAACAGTTTTCTATTCAACTGTGTGAATTGGGTTTTATTTTAGAATTATATTCTTATACTTCAACTTTTAAATAATTTAAAGTCAGATTAAAGACATATGCTGTCAGTGAAATCAAAGACTTTTTCAAACTTTGAAAAATCAAAAATTATTCACAAATTAAATTTGTATAAGTATTTGTCTTTCTTCCTTTTACTTAAGAAATGCCGATGGTTTTTTGAATTTTCAACTGATATCTTTGTAAAGATTTCTAGGACATTATTACTTGTTTAGATCTGAGAGCCGACCATCTTTAGGACAATTTACAACAGAAGATCCAGAGTTCTAAGCCATAAAAGTCAAGCGAAAGTAGAGCACGCATGGAGTTTTAACTGGAGCTCTACCTGGGGCTCTAATTGGTGTTTACCTGGAGCTCTACCTAAAGTTTTACTTGGAGTTCTACTTGTTCCTTGATTTCTATCTGGAGCTCTACTTGGAGCTCTACCTAGAGCTCTATACCTGGAGCTCAACCTAGAGCTCAACCTGGAGCTCAACCTGGAGCTCTTCCTGGAGCTCTAACCAGGAGCTCTACCTGGAGCTCTGCCTAGAGCTCTATCTGGAGATCTAACGAGAGCCCAACCTGGAGTTCTACCTGGAGCTCTACTTGGAGCTCTGCTTGGAACTTTACTCGAGATTAAAAAAAACATAATATAGGACGTTTTGCTAAAAGAAACTGCCTTACATTCATTCATTAGAAATATCACTTATTTTTTTCTGTTAAATCACTCAAAAATATTTGATGTGACTTATATACAGAGCGTCCCATATCACCTTAGATTATTTCAAAGCTTTAACACCAATATACTCAAATAAAACTAGAAATACCTAGTATTTTCTGCAAGAAAATTTTTTATAATAGCCTGATACGGTTTTTAAAAATGATTCATTGTTTTTAAGTTTTTGATTAAAGTCCCTAAATTCACAATTTAGAGCTAAAAATATCTAATATGATGTGGGACACCCTGTAGATTCTATTCACTTTTTTCAGTTCTTTAAATGTCGTCTTCGTCAGNGTCCCTAAATTCACAATTTAGAGCTAAAAATATCTAATATGATGTGGGACACCCTGTAGATTCTATTCACTTTTAAATTTCAGTTCTTTAAATGTCGTCTTCGTCAGAAAGACGACATTGTACTGCTAATATTATAATTAATAAATCTATGTACTCTAACCTTTGTAATTTTACCATATGTCTGATGAGAAAAAATGTTAGAAAAAAATATGAGATTTGACCGTAGATACTTTTCCGGTTTCCCTTTGCCTGCCATCTATTCTTCATAATTTAAACTAATTTCCACGGATACAACCGAGTGACCTACTGTGATTATATATATTTTTAACATTGATAATGTCTTTTTTATATTTTTTTTTAATTCCAGGTTTTAGATAATTAAATCCCCAAAATAACTTCATGAGCAAAGTAATCCTCGAATCCAATTCAGAAATTTCAAATCCTATTTTTTGGTATTGTACAGAGCTCAACCAGCTTCTGACGGCCCTCAGTGCGCAGCTAAATATAAAATATTAACTAGATAAAAATGTAGTTTTTATATTTTTGTAATTATAACTAGGCATTACTAACAAATAAAAATGTAAATAAAAGAGTCCTTTATTTATATTGTTCTCCCAAAAACTTGAATGGTGAATACTTTTCTTAAACATACTTTTCTAGAAGCAACATAAATTTATTTAAGGTAATCATTGTAAATATTCTTTTTTGAGAGATTTTTACGAGCCAAGATTAATTTCATTCATTTATTTTTTTAATATTTCAGATTCTGGCGCCTGAACAGAAAAAGTCAAATTTTCATCTGTCCCGTAAAATATCAATATGTCCACACTCCACACAGTGAAAGTTTTTTTCTGCTTAAGTATAAAAATTAAAATTCTACAGTACAAAAGCTCGTTAAATTCTGAGAAACCCCTGTCAGCTATTCCTAACAGTTCTTATGGCCGAGGTGGAAATGGTTCTTACGCTCTCTCAATTAGTTGTATTTGCGACGGCCGACGTACCAATAGGACGGATTATACGCAAATAGGACGAAATACAAGTCAATAGGACGGAATATACGCAAATAGGACGAAATACAAGTCAATAGGACGGAAGATACGCAAATAAGACGGAATAAACGCCAATAGGACAGAATACACCCCAATAGGACAGCATATACGCAAATATCGAATGGAATACACTTCAATTGGACGGAATATACTCAAATAGGAGAGAATACACTTCAATAGGACAGAATATACGCAAATAGGATTGAATACACGTCAATCGGGCGGAATACAAGCCAATATGACGGAATACAGCCAAGAGAATATAAAAAGACTACCATTATAGAATAACATTTCTTTACAAAAATATTGAGATAATCCTAGTTTCACAAAGATATATCCCTGTCTTATGTTTGTGGATTTCATAGTTTGCAGTAACGAACATGAGAAGATAAATAAATTTGTATCTTCTTTCCCACCTGACAAGATCACAAAATGCTCCGCATCTTGAAATAGTTTTCGAACTAAACTAATTATACATAGTCACATGATGCCAGGACATTTTTATAAAATCGTAAAATTTTCTTTTATTCTATTAATGCAAGAATTATGCTATTTCCAGAAAAATATTTGAATTATTCCATTTGTGCCTGCCTCGCAGACAACTAAAGGTTATTTTATATTTTATACTGTTTTGTTACGTATTTGTAATATTTAAGTATACTAGGCTTTTATGGCGCTTCGCGCTCATCTTCTTTTTCAACTTTTAATTGTGGCTTTATCTGTGAGCATCTTCTCTTTTTACTGTGTAAAAAAGTTTGCGGATTTTTATAATATTTTTCTCGCATTTTCAAAATTTTATAAAAATAAAAAACTTTTCAACACTAATTTTTGAAATTTTGATCATTCATAAACCTTCCTTGAGGTCACGTGAGATCCCACACAAAATTTGGGCCCGATCGGTTCAGCCGTTTTGACGTTTATTGGATACAAGCAAACAAACAGACAGACAGACAAACAGACAAGCCAAATTTATATATAGACTAAGCTTTTAGGGCACTTTGCGCCCATCTTCTATTTTAACTTTTAATTGTTGCTTTATCTGTGAGCATCTTCTCTTTGTACAGCATAAAACAAAAACAAAAAAGTTTGCAGATTTCATAATATTTTTTCACGCCTTTTCAAAATTTACAAAAATAAAACTTTTAAACACAAGTTTTTAAAATTTTGATCATTCATAAACCTTCCCTAGAGTCACGTGAGGTTCCACAAAAAATTTCGGCCCGATCGGTTCAGCCGTTTTGACGTTTATTGGATACAAACAGACAGACAGAAAAGCTAAATTTATATATAGATGAAATCTCTTACGCTGTTCTTGACGGATTTTGAAAGAGAGATAAAAAATCAAAATAAAACTGAAAATATTCCGATACAAACCTGATGCACATTAATTAGATTTGCACTTGACCATAGTATTGTTATTTCCAGAGCATAGACGATTTTTATAAATATTCTTGTATTTTTCAAATCTAAGGAGAAATCATTTTTACTGAAAGGAATTAAGTTTTTGTCACAAACTCTAAATTTTTTAATCTCTTCATGTTGGATATTTTAAACTATGAATTCTGTTAGATCAAATAGTTAAAATATCAAAGGTTTTAAAATATATATGGAGTTGAAAATATGAGTTTGTGACAAAAACTAAATTTCTTTATGAAGCTTACATGACCGTGCTTAATCAGAAGATTATCCGGATATGCTGTAGAAAAAAAAACATGCGATGCGATATCAAGAAACGAAAATATTTTTAAAAACTTGAAATTTTTCTTTTTAAAAAGCAAGTTTTTTTTGGTTCATGGTTTGCTGATTTCCTTTTATTAAAATTTTATTTAAATATCGTTAGAAAAGTGATGAATAAAAGGGCGGGAAAATTTATCTCACCTGACCNCCCCTCCCTTCAGCTGCTCTAGTCCTCTCCACAGCTGTAAAACCATCCCTGGTCGCCCCTTGTCCTCCTGCAGCCTCCGCCCAGTAACCAGGGATAAATAATAAAAATATATAAAAAAAAGAATAAATCCTCAAGATTTAAGAAAAAATGAAACAATAATTATTATTATAATAATTATTTTAAAATGTTGCATTTTTCTATTTTATCAAAAAGTTGGAACAATGTTTGAAGAATTATGTAAATGTTATGATTTGTTTATTTCCCCTGAAAATTTTCTATCTCTGCAGTCTGGGTGGAGAAGTAGTGTAGAACGGGCAGGAGCTGGATACAGTCAACCATCCTACCCGGAGACAGAACTCATTCTAAACCCAACCATGTATCTGGAGCTTCCAGAGCAAATCGGTCATGGGAGGAATAACATGTGAATTAACAAGAGCCAAGGTGAATAATAAAATTTCGATTTTTTCTTCTGAACGTTATTTTGGGTGAAGGTATTTAGTCTTTCCCGGAGATTCATCAAGTGGAATAAAAGAATAAGTCCAAAGTTTAAGCAAAGTTTTACTCTAGGTCTAAGTATTGATCTAATATTATTATGTTGCAGATGGAGTTGAGGGTTCAGGTTCTCCCACTTCTCTACATCTTCCTGGGGTACTGCAGTGCAGAGGGGCTACTGGAGGAGACCAGTTCCGTCCCACCTACTCCGACACCTCATTTTGGCACAGCTCCACCCGTAGAGGACGGAGAACCGGTCGGACCCAGCCTTGGGTTCATCCTCGGCATTGTTACAATCATCGTCACCATATTCTACATCATCGGGATCAGCTTCAAGGTCTTCAAGATCTTCCGTGGGGAGTATGAGCCCAGTGAACCGGTTTATCTCAAATATAAATAAACAATCATGATTCTGAAACTTTATATCCTAAATATGACATTTTTGCTCATTTTATTAAAGAATTATCTATGCTTATAATGCTTACTTGTGTATGAATAATACTCCACATAGTTCTGGAGGTAAATTAATAAATTATATTTATTTTCATTTTATTTTTTATCCTAAGTAGAGAAAACTATAATGTCTTGATAAAGAAACTAATTATTTGCCTAAAACTCTAATTGTTCAACCCTTATTGCAATCTGTCGTTACCCTTAATATTTCAAACTTTGACTATTTGACGTATTAATGGCTATATATAAATGGCTAGATTGGCAAACAGTGTTTTAAAATTTGGGTGTTTTGTTCAAGCACACAGTTTCGAGCAAACATATATACACACCTGATACAGAGCGAGGTAAAGAATTACACGATTAATTAAGATGGTTCAAGGGTACAGAGAGATACAGAGATACAGGGATAAAGGAATATAGGGATACAGAAATACAGAAATCTATAAAAGCAGGCAACTATAGAGAAATATAGAGTTTGAAATCACAGAAATATAGATTTTTACAAAGAGGATCAGAGCTGGTATAAAGCAAGCTCAACCAAACTTTAAAAAATAATACTGACTGTCAGTTTAGGATATATATTTATTTAACAAAGAGAGATATAACGAAAGATAAATGTAGAAATCTATAAAGAATTTATAAATTATAGAGATACGAAGTTATCTATTTTTTAAAGTTGAAATCTCTGTTTGTCTGTCAGCCTCTCTGTCTGTTTGTTTGTCCGATCATTACTTAGGAACCCCTGGACCGATTTGCCTCAAATTTTGACTTTGGAATTCGGGAGACCCACGAGAAATGTTCTCAGCTTGGTTTTATGATTTAAAGTTGATTAGGTCACCTTCAATAAAATCGTTCAAATGCGAGTAAACGGCGGGAAGAACTCGGATCGTAAAAAAATTTAATTCCAAACAAATCATTCAGATATTACAAACAATAATCATCGATAGTTTTTCGACGCATTGGTGTATAGTAAATAGTTCATTTTTTTATCATCCGAGAGTTACTTTTGAAAATATTTATTCCTGTTTCGAGGATTTTTGATAATGAAGACGACATTCTCATATTTTCCAGGANTATACGAATGCGTCAAAAAATAATCGATGAATACAAGTTGTAATATCTGAATGATTTGTTTGGAATCAAATTGATTATTTTACGATCCGAGTTGAATGTTGCAACTTTCTGAATTTATATGAACGCTACGTTCTTCATCATGAGTCGTTTTTAACAATTTTCTCCTTATAGACGCAACAGATAGAAGTAAGATTAATGGCGATCAAAAGCGCTTATTTTTCGCTCATTTTTCGCGAACTCTCCCTTTGGAAGACAAAAAAATCCATTTTTAAATCGTTTTAAGTGCAGTAGGTTGATTTTTATTGTTTTTATCTACTTATACACGGTATTATTCTATTCTTTGTTCTGTAATGATTCTTTCTTGATAAAATACCTATCATTACCCCATTTTGGCAGAGGGGAGGCATACGTTCTATTCTTTTAGTGTTCTAGTACATTCTCTATACTCGTTAAATGAATCCATGCCAACTCATATTGTTGTGATTTAGCTGTATGGAACTAGAAAACATAAGAACCCATTTTCTACATGAAACACAAATCAGAAAATCTAAATATATTCTATCTGTTGCGTCTGAAAGGAGAAAATTGTTAAAAACGACTCATGCTGAAGATTATATATATATCATATAATGTATACAGTAGTAATCGATCACAACTCATGAACCCTTTGACTGATTTGCCTAAAAGTTTAATAAAGGGAATGGCCGTAGTTTGATTTAAAAATTCGTAGTTGAATAGGTGGACTCTTAAAAAATTCGTAGTTGAATAGGTGGACTATTTAAAAATTCGTAGTTGAATAGGTGGACTCTTAAAAAGAAAACCTTGTTTTAAGGCAAAGCTGGGTTCCCAAGCTATATAGTATATATCTATGTGCATATAAAGTAGTCATCTCTGTTTGTCTAATTTTTAAAGAAAAGATGTTTTTCAATTGTTCTTTAGGTTTTAACTGAACAGCGTATATTTTTAACTTTTGAATATACTACAGTGAAACCCTTAATAACAATTACATCGAAAGAATTTATCAAATGTCGTCTTGACAATTTTTCAATGAGTTTTATACTATATTACGTAAATTTCAGTATTTGCGAAAATAAACAAATAGCTATGAATATGCGGGAACAGTTTTAAAGAGTTCCATATAATCATTTCATTAAAAGACTAAATATCTGCAACATTCCATTATCAGAAAGTGAAAAAGACGACATTTGATGAATTATTTCGATATATTAGTTATTAAGGGTTTCACTGTAAGAAGAGAGAAACTATGACAATTCAAATAAATTTTCCTTAAAAATTAGACCAGAATTTTCTTATAACAATTTTGCCAATTTTCTGTGATTCTGTGATTCTGTGATTCAATCTTTATCAAATTTTATATTTAGATAGAAATAATTTATTACACAGTTTTGCTTTACTGAACTTTTGATTTGAGAGAAAAAAAGGTTCGAGGATCGAAGTATCAAAAAAATAAAATTTTTTATGAAATATTGAAAACACAATACAGAGGAGTTGCATAAAAAAGGTACACTTATACACCAGGCGTCGCTAAATACACTTTTTTACTCAACCTGTACATATTCAAATTCAAATCATGTCTTATCTTTTCTTATACAATTAATATGAAGTGATAGTCTAAATAAGCCGGAATTATGTAAAATAATTGATACTCCATAGTTGTCTTAGAAATAGTTAGCGGTATTCAACATTGTTAACCTGCTTTTACCAATATACTTGTATGAAACAATAATCCCCGAAAAGCTCTAATCCTGCCATTTCCAAAATGGGGTCTGCTATTTTAGTGCTTTTACAATTACCGGAGATATGAATGATTTTCATGGTTTTATTAAATTAATTAAAATTTAAACAAAATTCTAATAACTCTGCGACAAAATGGCAGACCACATTTTGGAAATGGCAGGATTGGGGCTATTTTGTAATAATTATTTACTAAAAAATATTTTTAAAAGCAGGTTACTAATGTTGAATGCCGCAAACTATTTCTAAGGTCAAAGACGACTTTAAAGTATCAATCAATTAACATTATTCCGGCTCATTTCGACTATCATTGTATATGTAAAAATAATGTCCAATTTCACCCATTAAATGTAGACTATTGCGCGTATTCTCGTTTTAAAAATTTTTATCACGGGAGGTAACCTGGTACAGAAAACAATGGAATAGAAAGACGACATTAAAGCAATAGTTAAGTGTATTTGATATTTTTAAAAAGCGAATAGTTTTGTTTTGCACTTACAGGCGATTACATCAGTACAGTGAAGACGACTTTCGATTTTATTATTTATTTATATTAAGCTGTTAAACAGAATACAGAAAACATAGAAGTCTCTTTATCTCTTTATCTCTGTATGGTTCTGTTTCTCTGTTTCTATGCAACACTTGTATGTTTAACTCAGAACTCGGAGACGTTCTATCTAAATATGACGTCATATTAGGTTTCATCTATCTATCTTAGGAGACGATATTTCCCGTGCATTGGAGCGCATTGAGAGTAACCAACCTTATTATACAACCTTGCTCTTGCTTTATCTTTGATTGTTTCCAGACTGTTTCCTATTTAGTACTTAGAAGCGATGATGAAATGTCGTTGTACGTTGGAATGTCGTCTTCTTTATTCTAGTTTAGAAAAATATAGTTTTTGTTATTATTCCTGACAAATGATTAAGATNTCGTTATCCATAGTGAACACCTGGAATACAGACACGTGCTGGAGCACTAGTCTTGTTTACTCTCACCTCACCAACACTAATTGTAAACAAATATTAAACTATATTAATATTATCATCATTATTATTGTTATCATTATCATTATTGTAATTATCATTACTATTAGTATCTTAAAGGGACTGTAAGCGTTATTGCAAGTTGACCCGCCATTCAAAGATGGCAAGGTCCGATTCAAAACGGGACCACGAACACTTTTACCTGATCAATTATGAGGAAGATATTGTCGTTTTTAAGGTTTTAATGTGTTAACTTCTGATAATATATTCTTATATGTACTTTTGTAGTAAACACACAATGGAAAATATAAGTACTCAAGGTTAACATTGATATTTGATTCATACTTTACTATAGTAAGCTGTATATAAGTGTACTGTCGTTAATCGGACATTGCCAGCTTTGCATGGAGGGTCACTTGATATTATTATTATATTGTACAGCTTAATACAGTAAAGTACATCCTGTCTGTATCCACATATTTTCATATTTTGACCAGAGGCGTAGTCAGGGGGGCTATGGGGGCTAAGCCCCCCTCCCTGGACCAGTGAAATCTATGGATTTCAGGGGGTTATCAGGCCCCAACGGGTGCTAAGCCCCTTAATTGATACTCCATAGTTGTCTTAGAAATAGTTAGCGGTATTCAACATTGTTAACCTGCTTTTACCAATATATTTGTATGAAACAATAATCCCCGAAAAGCTCTAATCCTGCCATTTCCAAAATGGGGTCTGCTATTTTAGTGCTTTTACAATTACCGGAGATATGAATGATTTTCATGGTTTTATTAAATTAATTAAAATTTAAACAAAATTCTAATAACTCTGCGACAAAATGGCAGACCACATTTTGGAAATGGCAGGATTGGGGCTATTTTGTAATAATTATTTACTAAAAAATATTTTTAAAAGCAGGTTACCAATGTTGAATGCCGCAAACTATTTCTAAGGCCAAAGACGACTTTAAAGTATCAATCAATTAACATTATTCCGGCTCATTTCGACTATCATTGTATATGTAAAAATAATGTCCAATTTCACCCATTAAATGTAGACTATTGCGCGTATTCTCGTTTTAAAAATTTTTATCACGGGAGGTAACCTGGTACAGAAAACAATGGAATAGAAAGACGACATTAAAGCAATAGTTAAGTGTATTTGATATTTTTAAAAAGCGAATAGTTTTGTTTTGCACTTACAGGCGATTACATCAGTACAGTGAAGACGACTTTCGATTTTATTATTTATTTATATTAAGCTGTTAAACAGAATACAGAAAACA